TAGCCCCTTGTTTCAAATTAAATGGGTGTTGCATCTTGAATGATTGAATAGAACTTGTTCTACTCCGTGCTTCAAGATGCATGGAATTGACCAATAAAAAGAAAGGTCAGAGTTGAGATGGAATCATAAGCCTTATTTTCCTCCATATGGTTGCAAAAATAGCTTCCCAAGATACACAAAAACAGAAAATACTGATTAAAACTACTATTAGAAAAACTAATTTGATTATTATTATATTGAGGAGTTTTTGTTTGTAGAATATATATAAATTATATCTTCCAAGAATTATCATAAAAAGGAAATTACGAATGATTTGTTCAGCTAAAATAAATCTGGAAATGAGATTTGAAGACAATGTTTTCCCTAAGAATCGGCAACAGGCCAAATTGACCACTTCAACTGACAAAAATGCCGCTTTAAAATAAAAATTTTTTTGTAAGGTCCACAGAGATTTTCTTCATAAACCTCAGCCCCTAGCCTTTTACAACTGATTTCTTACCCTTTACTTTGAAATAAAGGGAAAACACTGGAAGATATTGTTAGTAGATAAATTACATCTTTACAAAGTATTTTAAAAATGCGTGTGTCAAAACACATAGTGTCAATAAGAAGATGCATGAGGCAAAATAGAAGCATGAGTTTAGATGCATGTGTCAAGATGCATAGTGTTAACCAGCCTTTAGGCTTATTACTATCAAATCACTAATTATTTGGGGGTTTGATTTACATTGTTTTCAAGGTTTGAAAAGATCCATTCATGACTCCACCAAATATAATTTTTCACAGATATCACTACTGAAAAATTCTTCAACCAAGAAATCAAAGCCCCATGAACCAGTATATTTTACTCAAACCGCAAAAATTTGTCCCCTCAAAAATATGTGATTTTACAGTATTTAATAGAGCCATAGTTAGCAGGATTCCTCAATCATTATTCAGTTGCACATCTTTGTCACTATTACTATACTGTATTTACACATTCTCTTCAGATTCTTACTTGGTTTTGTATCATCACCACAAATGAAGCCGCTTCTCTGGGAGAAGGATGTATATCAAATGAAAACTGTACCGATAATGGAGCAATTTGTGAAGAATCATCAAAACAATGTGTTTGTAACACAGGAGATGGATATGAGCAAGATGATGGAGCATGCAAACCAAGTATGTTTGACTGTGATGAAGAACTAGTATAACTGTTTAGGATTTTATAATGTATTGTTATGAATAGAATCAATTCACACTTCACTATATTTATCAAAATATCCTGAATGAAACTACTGAGTTTATTTTTAGCTCTACTGGTCAGAGACCAGAAGAGCTTATGCGATAGTAATGCGTCCGTCGTCCGTCCGTCTGTCTGTCTGTCTAGCTGTCTGTAAACAATTTTTCAAAATGCTACTCCTCCTACAGTTTTGGTCCGATTTCAATATAACTTGGCACACAAGTAGACTACACTAAGATACATTATTCTGTGCATCGGTTTTTGATTTCGATGGACGGTGTTGCCATGGTTACTAAAAATAGAAATTTCTGTGAAATTCTTTCAAAATGCTACTCCTCTTACAGTTTTAGTCCGATTTCAATATAACTTGGCACACAAGTAGACTACACTAAGATACATAATTCTGTGCATCCATTTTTGATTTCGATGAACGATGTTGCCGTGGTTACTAAAAATAGAAATTTCTGTGAAATTGTTTCGAAATGCTACTCCTCCTACAGTTTTGGTCCGATTTCAATATAACTTGGCACACAAGTAGACTACACTAAGATACATAATTCTGTGCATCGGTTTTTGATTTCGATGAATGGTGTTGCAATGGTTACTTAAGATGGAAATTTTTGTGAATTTTTTTCAAAATGCTACTCCTCCTACAGTTTTGGTCCGATTTCAGTATAACTTGACACACAAATAGACTACACTAAGATACATAATTCTGTGCATCGGTTTTTGATTTCGATGAACGGTGTTGCCATGGTTACTAAAAATAGAAATTTCTGTGAAATTCTTTCAAAATGCTACTCCTCTTACAGTTTTAGTCCGATTTCAATATAACTTGGCACACAAGTAGACTACACTAAGATACATAAATAACCTACCGTAATTCTGTGCATCAGTTTTTTAATTTGGATGAACGATGTTGCCATGGTTACTAAAAATAGAAATATCTGTGAAATTCTTTCAAAATGCTACTCCTCCTACAGTTTTAGTCCGATTTCAAATAACTTGGCACACAAGTAGACTACACTAAGATATATAATCATTTTGTATATCGATTTTTGATTTCGATTAACGGTGTTGCCGTGGTTACTAAAAATAGAAAATTTTGTGAAAATCTTTCAAAATGCTACTCCTTCTACAGTTTTAGTCCAATTTCAATATAACTTGGCACACAAGTAGACTATACTAAGATACTTAATTCTGTGCATCGGTTTTTATTTTGATGAGCGGCAAGGATCATTTTTCTATTTATTGCTGTTTTAAAGTTTCAAGTCCCAACTGCTACTTTTCTCTTCCTTTGTTTTATTAAGTATAAACCAGTAGAGCTACAGTCTCGACAGAGACTTCTGGTTGATATTAGAAACTTTTAATTTACAATGTTTCTCAAGTTGCCAAATAAGTTTTACCTCACCTGAGCTGAAAGCTCAAATGAACTTTTAATAATAATAATAATAATAACAATAAAATTTGTATAGCGCCCTATTTAAAATAATTTACTCTAAGGCGCTGAACAGACACTATTTCAGATATACAAGTAGTTAAATACAACACAATAATCATAAAAACAATAATCATAAAAACATAAAACCTAAATTCATTCTAAGAGATCGTAACTAACATAAGAGTAAGCTAAAATTATATGCTGCTAGACTAAGATCAAATTGAGATCACATTAAAATTTTCAAACAATACAGGTTGTGCCCAAAATAAATAGTCTGAGTACAATAGAACTTGATAACTTGTTCAAAAAATAATAAATTATACGTCGTATGCTATCTTAAAAAGATGAGTCTTAAGATCTCGTTTAAAAGCTAAAAGTGACGTCTGGAAGCGGAGAGCATCAGGTAAACCATTCCACAAAGTTGCCGCTGCATGGTCAAAACGACGCGTTCCGTATGTCTCCGTGCGAACACGAGGTTTCACAAGATGTTTGGAGTCATACGAGCGTAGAGTTCTTGACGGTTGATAGACTGTTATGAGTTCCTTTAGGTATGATGGTGATGTCCCCTGGAGTACTTTGAAAGTGTATAAAAGCAGAGACGTAGCATCCGGGGGGGCCAGGGGGGGCCTGGCCCCCCCACTTTTTTCCCCAACATAACCTTTACTATAGTAAATGTTCATTGATTTGATGGTTGGCCCCCCCACTTTATAACCATAGTATAGTGATAGCAAGGATTGTAAGGAAAAGATTTGATGTGATAGTAAGTTGGCTTTGAAAAAGTTGGCCACTACCCCCCCCCCCCCCCCCCCCCCCCCCCAAATAGGATTTTCGAGTTTGGGCAACATTTTTTTTTTTGTTTTTTTTTTTTTTGCTTGTCAACTTTTTCAGGTAAGTAAAAAAAAATTTTTTTCTCAGATTGGCCCCCCCACTTTCAAAAACGATGCTACGTGCCTGAAAAGGATCTTATAATATGTTCTAAATTTAACTGGAAGCCAGTGAAGAGATATCAGGACTTCGGAGATATGATCATGCTTCCTAGTTCGGGTGACAATCCTTGCTGCCGTATTTTGTACTCTCTGTAGCCGTGAAATATTTGTCTCTGTAATTCCATAGAGTAGTGCATTTCCATAATCAAGTCTTGATGTAACTAGAGCGACAACTAGAGTCTTACAAGCATCTTCTGTTATGAATGGACGAATTCGACTAATATTTCGCAGGTGGTAAAAACTTTTCTGATATTATTTTGTCTGAGTTCGTCTGTCTATCTGACTGTATGTCCCTCAGTCTGTAAACTTTTCACATTTTTACCACGTCTTTATAACCATTTGCCCAATTTCAACCAAACTTATTGCAAAGCATCCTTAGTTGAAGGAAATTCAAAATTCTTCAAAAGAAGGGCCACATCCTTAAACAAGGGGAGATAATTAAGAAAAAATGTAAATTTGGTGGCTTAACTTATAAGAAACTTTTTTTACTTAAAGTATAGATTCAAGTATGTTCGGAAAATGACCCCTGGGGTTAGCTGGTTGGCATCATAATGGGGAATAATTAAAGTTTTACAGGAGGAGTATATATACAGGAATGTATCTTTTAAAAAATCAAGAACAGCAAACTCATGATTTGTCATGTAAATATGTAGCATCCCCAGGTTGTGTAGATTCAAGTTTGTTCAAATCCTGGCCCTCTGGAATAGAGTTAGGCCAAAATGGGGAATCTCAGTTTTATATATGAACATATAAAAGGAAAAAAATCTTCTTCAGAAAAACCATTTGTATATATTAGTAATACTGAATATAGTATCATCCTCAAGTAGTATAGATTCAGATTTCTTCATATGAACAGTAGTGAAGGAGAAAATTCAAGTGTGCCATGCAACAATATACATGTATTCAAGAAGTGGTGTAAATCAGATGTGGATGCTTCCAAGGAACTTTTGGACAATTTGAAAGCACAAGATTTTACCAAAATCAACAGCTTAAAGTAGACCAATACTCGCACTATGTCACTAATGAATAGTAAAACCAGAACCACACTTCTTATTTCTGAGATGTGATTTTTTAACTGTATTGGTTTGACTTTTACTTGGCGTTTTCAATTTTTGGTAACGATTTTGTTTTAAGTTGGTCTCTTCAAATGATGCTCACATATTTTATTATTTCAAACATTGCAATATTTATCTTGTCAATGAATAATGATTACATGCATCACCCCCTGTCCCCTGTCTGTGCTACTATTAGCAAGTCATTTCCTACCATCTGCCGATAGATAAGTTCATAAATGAATTAATACAATGAAACAAGTTCAATTTGTATTAATTACAATGATTCATATTGATTCATGTTTAAAGGTCCCATCACAGTGTCACTAACAGGACCAGACAGCAGTGTTACATATGGATCATCCATAAATTTCACGGCAACAATTATAACTGGAGCAAGTCTGACTGCAGTAGCTTGGCAGAAGGTGGGGTCTGGTGAAAGTCTCTCAAACATAACCGTAAACTCTACAAAGTACACACAGACAGGTGACCTGGGGTCTGGTACAGTAGTACTTACCATCAACAACCTCAATTATAGTGATGAAGTCAGTTATCAGGTTCAGGTTACCAACAGTCTAGGGAGGACTGATTCCAGTAACCCAGTGTCAGTGGACGTGGCTGGAGGTGATACATTATGAAATCAGACCCTGTATAAATGTGCATTAAATTTAACACTGTATGAAAATGATATTTACATTTTAATAATTTAAAAAAAGGTCTAGATTTGCTTGTAACTTTTGAAATGTTATTTTAAAAAAATGCTCTACAGGTCCACCCAGTGTCTTTGTATCAGGGCCTACCCAATCTGATGGGAGTGTAACCATTGGATGTACTGCTACTGTCACAACTGATTCTCCAGGCATCACAGCTATAAAGTGGACAATAAATGAAACTGAGATAAACATAACTAACTCAGATGGTAAATACTCTGGAGGAAATGTAACCATTCCAGCTCTGACCATCAATTCAGTAGACAGCAGTGACGCAGGAGTTTATCTTTGTGTGGCCACTAATCCTGCAGGATCCACTACAAGTGACAATAATGTGACTCTGGGTAAGTTACTATAGATTTAACACTATGTAGCATTTAGACTTGGCTGACATTAATCAGTGGGTGTATTTTAATTCCATTTTACTATATTTACATTACATAAGTTTTTTGCATTTAGAGTGAATGGAAATCTAGTGCATTCAAAACACCATAACACAGACAGGGTGCCAAGAGGTTAAAGCATACATTTTAGTTTGATGTGTCATAATCGTTGAACACCAAGAAATTGCAACGTTACAAGCGAAAATCCCAAAATTACGCTCAAATTGACCAGGAGCTGTTACGTTGGCTGATCCATTAACTAGCTTACACGAAGGATAATACATTGGTTTTTAAATAGAAATCACATTTACAGTTAAGGTAGAAAGTTAAAAATGTAACGATAAGCAATGAATCATTATTTTTTTAAATATATAGTCTCATAACTGCAGCAATGGTGTGTGGAAACAAATTTTGATAATGCGCTAATATTAGTTATCCAGGTTCAATCAAGGTTGTACAGGGATTTACCCCGGGTTTTATTCCATACACCCTGAGGCCGTAGGCCGAAGGGTGTGTGGAATACAACCCGGGGTAAATCCCCGTACACCCTTGATTGGACCTGGATAACGAATTTATTTCCTTTGTACCTATAAAAATGCTTTGTAAACATCAGAGTGTGTCTCAATTTATCGATTAGATAACTACGTACTACAATGTATGCATTGTGACATCACGTTTTATTTACACCCGGCTCAAGTCGGGTGCACGGATATTTACACCCGACTTTGTAACCAATCAAAGCTCGTGTTACAAGCTAGATAGGAAATAATGCGTGTTACTTAATGTGTTTGCACACACCATTGCAGTTATAAGACAATATCTTTCAAAAAATAATGATTCATTGCTTAAGGATATTCGATCCTCAGCCAGGAAGGATAACTCCAAAAACTAACAATTAATTTGAAATGCATCAAAATGAAGCTTGAAAATGATTTTTTTTCTTGCAACAATTTTCATTTTATTCATCTTTTTAAGATTCAAGGCCTTTGGAAATCTTAGAAAAGGTCTTGTAAAAGTTGACATTTGTACCCTATAAAAGGAGAAAAAATTAAACGGTCAGGGGCATAACTTAAATAAGTTATTTTCAAAAATAACTCAAATGAGTTATTTTTTTGTCTCAATGAGTTACTTCTCTTTGCTATGACCTACTTTCTCCTAGCCTTAGTAACTCAAACACGTTATTTTTCCAAAATAGCCTCAATAAAATAATAACTTGTTTAAGTTATTTTGTGTCATTCCTCCCTAACTTCACACCCCGTGCACCAAAGGATTTTGCTCGTGCACCAAGACAAAAACAAATGTTTGACTAAATTTAAACCTTGCTCAATGCAGAAAAAGTGTCCAAAGTCTTGGGAAAAGTGGGGAATTTTTTTTATTTAATGATAAAAATTGGACATATAAACCATGTGGATAAAACCACAAAATAAGGTGTAAATGCTGTTTGTCTCCACCTCCTCACCAATTCTCCATTGGAGTCGGTGAACTCCATCTAGTATTACATAATGGAATCCCAAAATGCAATGCATATTGGCAGGAAACACAAAATTTCCCAGAAATCAATGTCCAAGTAGGATATAATATAACTTATTTAAGTTATTTTTAAAAATAAAATCGTGTGTGTAAAATAACTTATTTAAGTTATTTTTTTAATAACTTGTTTGAGTTATGCCCCTGACTGTATACAAAATAGCAACTTTTTATGCTAAATCCTGTTTGAGAATTGTGAACGATATATACATCGAAATCTTAAACATTACCTGTGTTGATGCAAAACCTCCTTCAGGGTTACGCTGGGAGGTGATCCACTTTAGAACAGGTAATCCTCCCTCTAAGTCTTTATGTGAAAACAGTTTCAGAGAAATAAGATTTTCTTGAATCCAGCCTTACATACCAATGCTTTTTAGCATTACATGAAATGAGAAGTGAAATATAGTGTCTTGCAATGATAGCTAAAGCCTTTTACACTATGTATTATAGAATACATGACGGAAATAGAAGACAACAAATACCAAATAAGTATAAGAATCATGACAATTTCTCTGAATGCCTGGATACCTATCGTTTTTTAGCCTAAAATATATTACAATTGTTGATAAATTTGCAATTAGAAAATGCATTGCTGATATTCCAATTCGCTTTCTCTGCAAAAATATTGGAGATTTGACAGTTTTCCCTATACAATATGATTAACTTTGATCTTGAACTTTAAAGAAAAACTGTGGATAAAATTACATAACTTTGTGGATTCAGAGATACTTTTATGAGTATTTTTGATTACTTAACTGCTAATTTTATAAACCTGAGGATTGGACTACCTTAATTGAGAGACTGATCTTTTGTTGTTGGACAGAAACAGCAGTTGATATCTTTTAATTTCTCAGTTTTTATCAGGTCGGAGAGAATACTCGAAATTGGGTATTATCCGTGAAATCGCGTATAATACTCGATATTAGGGTATCGTTGAATCCGCGAAATCGGGTATTCCGTGCAACTTACTATAAAAACTAAAGAATAAAGCAACGGCGCATTATGCCAGTAACTGTTACTTGTACATCAGTATCTTGTGAATATATTTTTATTGAACCTAATTCATAAGGTTGTCAAATAAGTTTAAAATCACACGACAAACACTGCTGGGGTAACAAAGAGGACACAATGGCGTTATTATTTTTCAGTATAATTTCTAAAAACAAATAACTACACTTCGTTTGTCTTTATTTCCCATTTAATTTCCATACACTTAATTTTCTAATTTGTGCACTATTCACAAAACGTGAAATTTTAAAGAAATTAAACGACTAACGCCGTGTTATGTATTTTTACTGAAAAATGTATGGCGTCCCTTTCTTGTGAAATATAAATTACTCCTAACAGTTAGAGAGTACAGTATAAGCAAGTCATAATTGTATATCTCTCCAATAATAGAACATAAACGTTATTATAAAGAAGAAAATAAAATAAGTTGAAATAAATACCCACGGGAAAACAGGTTGAAAATAGTTAATTGAAGGTGAGTATCTTTTTTCTATGTCAATTTAGCATGGAATTTTTATTCAAGGACACCGTAAATTTTTTGGTTGCATTTTAATCGATATAAAATATACTATGTTAACTTTATTTTATGCATTTGTGTGAAAAGTGAGAGCGAGAAGTCATATGAACAGGATTTTCTTGTTTTTTAAATTTTTTTGGGGGGGGGGGTATAAATAAAAGTCAAATGTGTACATCTTTTCTTGAAGTTAAGATACATTAAATTTTTCAATATAGATCGAGGTACAGTCATAATGAAATATGAATTACATAGTCAAGTTTTCACATTTCTTATAGTTTTTACGTTTATGAACATGTTAATGAACAAACTGAAATAATGGAGTGTTCAATTGCCTTGGAAACTCTTGTCTTACTTTTTGGGAATATAATTCCTCACCGGACATTAAAATTTCATAAATATCGTAGCCACTTCCTTTCTTTATTATACTATTTGATAGACAGGGTAAATTTTACCTCTTTACCTTCTATATTTTTTTTATTTAAGAAATGAATGTAATAATTTTTTCTTTGATCGATGTATCAAAGAAAAATTTGGACGGAAAACTTCATCAATGCGCGTAGCGCATTGATGAAAAAGTTTTCCGTCCAAATTTTTCTTTGATACATCGATCAAAGAAAAAATTATTACATTCATTTCTTATCATTTAATTATGATTTTAAATTAATAAAATGAAAGTTTCTTTCAATTTTCTATTAAATTTATGTATCAAAAACAGTGCGCACGAATACATCACCATAACGTTAACGTTGCTGAAAATTCAAAATGGCTCTAACCATGCTAACGAAAAACGTTATCAAATATTGTCGTGTGATTACCAACAGTCTCCAAAATAATTTACAGTTCTTTAACACAAAAAATACCTGTTGTGTTATCCCCTCTGGGTATATTTTCCCCGGTAAGTTATCTAAGTTCGTAAATGTAAAGGGAAGCTACTCAAAATCAAATACCCTAACAGTTCTACGTCACAGAAATTTTGGATTTCATTTGCGCATCTTTTCATTTGAATTTCAAACCGAATATATAAATACGTATCATAACCTGTCAATGCTGTAATACCTGAAAGAGTCTGCTGCCGATAGTTCAAGATTAAAGAATTCCATCCTCAATTCATGCAGTGTCGTTTTTCTCGATCACTCGTTTCCCACGATTTAACAGTTTTTCGGTTTTCCCCGCTTTGTTAGCATAATAAAACATTTTTCAGAGTTCTATTGTTTCATACCAGATATCTCAAAGTCAAACATTTATGAAAAGTATGTCGATTAAACGATTTCTTCCCTTCTTTCCCGTAACTGTATTGTCGTCATGCAGACGATTTTAATTTGTTTAGCAAAGGGGGATAATTCAAAATGAAACGAAAGTAGAAAGTAAGTCAGGAACCTAACGGACAGGTTCCGAAATTCAGGAAAATATTTATTAAAGCAAAGGTATTTAATTATTCCTTCAAAAAGTAACCTGGAAGCGGGGAATATACATGTGCCGACTGTCAAATAGTTCCGGCTGCTTAGTGCAACCGAACTCTAGATTTTATTGATGCAGTTATCAAAAGAATTTTTTATCCAATCAGAATCAAGTATTTTATAGAAATTAAATGATATCGCTATCTTATACCTCATTATAATATGCTAATACAACGCACTGATTGCTTCTAGACAATATGTCACTGTTTTCTTTTAGTTATTTTATCTATGATACGTATTACTCATGCCAATAACTTTTCCTAATACTATCTATAATGAAAAAATGTGTTTAAAAAATAAACATGAATTCTAGTTACTTGTAGTCTTACATTGTGTTAGAAAATAACAGGTTGCTTTTTGTTTACCTACAATGTATATGATTTTTATTTGATGAATAAATCTTCCCTACGATTAAAATATATGACCGAGTTTAACCGACCGCGACATTCAAAGAGAGGTCTCTTGGGCACATGTAGAACACAGTCGAGGTTGTTTTGTCAGAGGTGGTCAAGAAGCCTTTAACCCCCCCCCCTTTTTTTTTGAAGTCGCCAAGAAATGGTGAAATATTTATGACTTAGCGAAATTAAACGATCAAAAGTTATGTTCTCTCATAAGCTGTATTCCTGAAACTATCACTGTCTCTGCTAAAATGTTGAAGACATATTCTGCAAATATGTTTGAATGATAAATAAAAAAGATGAGATTTTCAAAAAAGAGAAAGAGGGTTTTTATAGCCGAAATTTTAGACATTTTTATCATTACATTATTTATACATTCATAAATAAATTTGATTTTATGCACAAGATGAATGTGAAAGTAATTAATGACGCATAATTAGATACGATAGACAACCCCTTGTTTATACATGGCATCATATATGGTGTGTGAAATGTGTTTCCGTATAATTTGATTTATTTACAAATTGTTCATGTTTGTCGTGTTGATGTGGAATTATTATAAACTCCCGAATTCTGATACTTTACAATTCTGTTGTGTTGGAAATGAACATTAGGAAGATGCATATACTTTCAACATAAGGAAAAATATAAAGCAAATCGAACGCCTTTTTGTGTGCAGATCATGAAATGTACTGAGCTCCACGGGTATTTGTTGTCCCGAGCGCATTAATCTTGACACCCACATTCTTACTTGGCTAGTGATACCTTTAGAAAACAAGTGTATCTAGATGTAAGTTAACTCGGCAACATGCGCCATCCCATTGTTTAAGTTTTATTAGGTGAATACACCTCCTATACCCGATTTCGCGGATTCAACGATACCCTAATATCGAGTATTATACTCTATTTCACGGATAATACCCGATTTCGAGTATTCTCTCCGACCTGTTTATAAGATGTCAAAAAGTTGTAGTTAAAATTCAATTATTTCTGTGAATCAATAATTTCTATTGACTGATACTCCATAGACTTAAAGGTGTATACATATTTTGAAAAGAAGAAATCTTCATTGATGTTTTCATTCATTTTTGAAATCCTCTTTGTTAAAGTCTAAATTGACTTGAATCATAATTGCAAAAATATGACATAGATTCTAAGATTGCTCAATTATAAATTGACTTCTTTAGAGTTAAAAACATTATAATGCAGTGCTTCTTACATGTAAAACTCATTGCCATATGAATTATTGAGTGTTGATTACTTTTTTAAGTAATTGCAAATATCATGAAAACGAATATATGAATTTTGAATATATACATACATGTAATGCAGTTGATTAGTTAAAAGCTGTGAAATTCATGTTTGTACACAAATTATTTGCTCTGATGAAATTTATGAAATCAATATATATTTTTGAATTTTTAGAATTACCATAACTACCAGCTTCTTTCTTTATTGTGGTATATTTCTTTTTTGGAAAAAATGCAACTAATTTTTTGCAATAATTATTCTGTTTCAAAGTTTGTTGATTCAATTTTATTTTTAATATGCCTTGTTTTGTGAAGAATTGATTTGTAACACTAATATTGTGAAGAAATCATCATCCATCTTTCTTACAAATTATACTTATTAACAGGAAGAGAAATCTATAAGTATTGTGGAATAAAGATATCTTATGTATTTATACATTTCAATAAAGATGCACTTCCCTTTCTAGCTCCTCCCTCTGATCTCAAGGTCACAGGTACCCTATCTGTTGTTCATAATTCCACGGCAACATTCAGTGGCTCCTACACGTCAGTGCTGCCATCGGTGAACATCACATGGCAGAAACAAGGGACAAATAACTATGACAATATTGACATTGGTTCACCAGATGGTAAATATACAGGGAGTAGCATTACTGGACCAAGTCCTAAACTAGTGATCAACTATGTAAAATTTAGTGATGGGACATCGTATAGGATGGTGGTCAGTAATGGAGTGGGATCTACCAACAGTGACCCATTCAAACTGGAAGTAACAGGAGGTAAGTTACTATTATATATAATAATATTCAGTTTGTACTACGGTATCTTGATGAAGTTAAATAGTAGTTCATTTAAACTTCTTCAAACTGGCTCCTTTGAAAAGTATTATTTAATCTTACAGGATCCACAGATTTAAAAATTTTTAGTGTATGTCTTGTGTCAATTTGTCTTATAAAGAATGCCTTGCAAAATACGAGGGTTGTTTGAAAAAATCGTGGACAATGTCAATCTTCGTTATATTACTCACTAGAAATTTTGAATAAGCACAATATTTTATGTAAAACTATTTGTTTTGTTGGTGTGTGAAGTTTCATCCCATTTGATTTAACAGAAATCAATTTACATTTTAACGTAGGTCGCGGGTTTGCAGGGCTTTTAAAAGTGTCCGAAAACATACTACGAAAAATACATATATGATTTCTCTACCTATGATTTTTATTCTCTGAAAATTTCATAAAATTCATCTGCATCTTTTTTGTTTAATTAAATTCCAAAGATGTCATTGTTGTAACAGCATTTTCGACATTATTCTGTTGAATTGTATAGGAAAAACGTCGTTTTTTGCTTGTTTTCAGGCAAGGTTTTTATTTAAAAAATTTCAATAACTTTTAAATTGTGCAGACGAATTTGTTTATCCTTTGGTATTTAAAACTAAAATTGATTTGAAATAAATCTAAGTGAAAAAATTGATATGTCTTCAGGTTTATTTTCTTGTAATTTAATTGTAGATAATTGCTGTTACATTGAAAAATGTAGCATTTTTAAGAACGACGTCATAAAATATCGCGACGTCATGCTTGACGTCGTGAATACCGATCTGGTATACTGCGCAAAAACAAATAAACAAATTATACTGATTTTTAAAATAAGGAAATTCACGTCTATCTGCTTTCAAAGTACCAACATCATAATAATTCAGCAAACCAATAAAACAATTGTTTTTCTCTTTGCATCTAATATTAGTGACTCTTTGCATCTAATATTAGTGAAAATTCTCGTAGAAGGCGTAAACCAACAATCAGTCCTTTAGTTTCTTTCTTTTTTCTTTACGTGTTGATTTCTTACCGTTTCTTTTCTTTTTGTTTTTTTTCTTCATGCACGGATTCTTGACGGATTTTTAAAATAAAAGTGACCTTGCATTCCCTTGTGGAAAAGGTAGACCCTCCCTCCTCTTTGAAATCGCAGATATGTGATAAGTTTTTCTGAAAAATCGTAGGTATGAAGATAATCTAGAAGTCAAGGACTAACCCCCCCCCCCGGAAATATATTTTTATGTTTTGTATATTTTTTTTCTTTAGAAAATTCAGCAAGGCACTAAACTCCACAATTATTTCGTATGCTTGAATGTCCGCCAAATATCATCCTGGGTATAAGTACATGTATTATGCATTCAGTGTATATATTGAAAATGTTTTTATTTTATTTCGTATTTTTGATTCGTATTGCATGTTATATATAGCTTAGATCCCCCCACTATTTTTTTTTTTTGCTAAACTAGACATAGACAATTGGGATTTACCTTATTTTGTTGGTTTAGCCCCCCCCCCCCCCCCCCCCCCCCCCACACACTTTTGATTAGCCCCCCCCTTTCAATTTGCTTTCGACGCCCATGTACACTGTTTTTAAATACATGTATTTCGTTTTCGATTGATACATACAGAGAGATGGCTTGCATTTTGTTATTCTCGTCGTCAGCCTCACTTTAACTTGATCACTATCTAAAGTGTTGGAAATCATGGAATATGCAGACATCAATAAATTTGAAACACATTCTTCTTCTTTTTAAGATTTCCATATGATTTTTTATGTGCTGCCTCTGATAGATCGATTAAATCAACCGCATATAGGGTGGAGTTAAAATAAAAAAAAATAAAAAATAAATATTTTACTCATCTCCGGCTTTAGCAAGAATAAAGTGGAAAGGAGGGAGGGTGTCATTACCTGTGTGCCTGTGGTTATTTAAAAGAGGTAAATGCCGCTCAAAAAATGCATTAGTTTTATGTTTCATAGTATAAGTATCTTAGCAGTTTTTAATTTGTGACCAACCTGTATATATATTTTTTCAAAAGTTTTTTTAAAATAAAGGTTAAACGTTTAATGTATCGGTGCATTTGTGATGTTTGTTATATGACTTTTTATTGATTATTATGAACTTTTAATTTGAATAGGGCAAAGAATTTGATCCTGAATTTGATTGGCTAAAACCTGTATCTAAAATTTCATGGGAAAAACTTCATAGTGTTTTTATGGAAAATAAGACTTTATCAATTTTTATTTATTCAATGCAATTTTGAAAATATGGATTGGAAGTTCTAAACCCAATCATTTTTTAATTTTGCTCTTTTTCCGAGAGTAACACATACCGTTTCATAATATTGAGTTTGACTTTCAATCAGCGAGCAGAGCTTCTACGCTGTTTACGGAGATAAAAGAAAACAAATACATGCATGCCATGTATGGTTGTGTATATAATATTATCGTAGAAGACAATGATAATTAACAGTTTGTTATTGCATTTTCTCTGATAGTGTAAATAAGTGCGTTTATGAGGACGGGGTACTGAGTTTAATTCAGAGTTAGATATCCTGTGTTATAATTATACTAAGGGTTAAAAATTATTTCCAAAACAAGTGCATGTGCTCTCAGAATAGACCCGAGAAGATGCGATTGATAACACACAATGAAACGCTTTCTAATACTTTCAGTGTTGGTCATTCGAATCAAAATAGGAATTCATTTTGTTATAACGTGAGCATATTCTATGAATACTGTTACACAAAACTGCAAATTTCAAACAAAAGTTATAGGTAGATAATTATCTACGTTTGTACTTGATTTTTCCCATTTCTCGTCGTGACGTCATAATCAGATGTGCACAAGAAAGTCGCCCAAATCATATAAATTTGCGTACCCAGTTTTAATGATGTCGGCAAACCCGCGCCCTACGTTAAGGTCAAGATCTAGTGAATGACTTAATTAGAACAACTTTTCGGTGCTAAATCCATTACGACATCATAATCACTTTTAACTTTCCTTTTCCCGTACTTTATGGCTCTAATAGAATTATGTAGAAAATAAAGTATTTTCATGGAATTCAATTTGAAATCACATGAAAAGTAACCCGGGTTCAAAATATCGCGGGGTTCAATATATTATATGACACCGGTACCTATATTAAATTTAACATTATTTAAAAGTAGACACTAAGAACATACAAATAACCGTTTTCTGAAAAACTGTAGGCAATCTGGATACATTTTCTTTGTCTGATTTGGAAACAACTCCCATTTTAAATACTGGTTTTCTTAATTTTTCATTGAAAATGACAGTTGGGTTTTCATCTTAATGTTTTTCGTAAAATTATGCCCCGAAACACATATTTTGACCAAGCTAATGTTATAAAGCATCATTAAAGGAATTAATTTCTTAAATTTAAAAAATCTGTAGGCACCTTCCATTTACTAGATCTTGACCTTAAAAAATCAACGTTTTGTACCTGCGGAGCACACTAAATGGCAATGTAACATCAAAACACAGCGTCAAGAATTTTTAAAAAATACTATCCCTATACATTTCACACAGTATAATCCAATGCACACTCATTGAATCCTTTTTCTGATACTTTACATTTATTTTTTGAGAATTGCTCTCGTTGGATAATTTATTTTGTTAAGGTTTTAATTTCTTTTATTACTTAACTCTGCTTTCACAGGATAAGCAGTCTGAAGCGCCTATGTCTTTCTTTGACGTTCCAACTTTTTAGAATTTTTGGTCAGATTTTTACAGTTAAACCATTTCTTTACAGATTATCCTCATCCGATACAGAGCCTCTGTCACTCAAATATTGCCCGTACTATTTGAACACACATGCACAACTCGCTTGTGACATATTTCTTTGATTCCTCCAACATTCTAAGAGTTTATTCAGGATTTTTCCAGTGTAAAGCACAAAATTGCATCGTTATCTGCTGCTCCGTTAACATCCAGCATTTTTTGTGGTTTTCAATGAGGACTACCTATCTTCTCAAGTTGATTTCTTTTAAACAAAGCAAATTATAAAGCCATAATTTTGAATACAAACCGATGTAAAAATTCTTCATTTGAATTTCTAGGTTGTTTTTCATTTTTGCTCCAGTTTACAGAGAATATGACTACAGACATTATTTAGTGTATTGTCTGTAACTTATTAAATTTTGACCTGCTCCGCGACCTGATTTTTGCTTTTTTTAAATCTGGATAAATTTTTAATTAATCGTAATATTTTGAAAAAATTTAATCAAACCATTAGGATTTATTGTTAAAATATTTCTACCAAAATTGGATAACACATGACTTCAAATAAAAAAGATATGGTAGTTGTCCACGAACTTTTCGAACAACCTTCGTACAAGCAGTTGTACAAGTACCGTAGTTACAAATTGTTTTATTGATCATGATTTTCATGCTTAATTTTAATTTTGTTTGATCCAGGTTTGTGATAATTCTTTTTAACGAAATTCAGCGTGTTCTTCATAAAAAAAATTGTAAAAAAAATATTAAACAGATAATTTGAATGTAATAACTGAAAAAAATCCTTTCAGCCAAACCAATAATAAACATCTTCCCACTCACCCCAACTGTCTATGGACAGTCAGCAACAATCACAGCACATGTTGCCTCTGATCCCCCAGCAACAGGATACGTGTGGCAGAAGTCTGTCAATGACATGCCAGAAAATATAACGTCCACTGACAAGTACAATATAACAGGAAACATTTCAGAGGGAAACTTCAGTGTTTCCCTAACTATTAATGATGTGAAGTTTACTGACCAGGCTAATTACACACTGGTGGTAACTAATTCTGTGGGATCTCACACTAGTAATGCAGTTACATTGAATGTTACAGGAGGTTGGTTCAAATCTGATAATTTTACTCACAGAAGTAACAATACTGATTAACTTGCATGAGACACTATATTTTAAAATGCAGATAACTGCATGCATACAATTTAACATGAATAATTTGCTACTGTATAGGGGATTAATTTCACGGGTTGTAATTTTCACGTTTTTTTCTCATCTGACACGATCGCGGTTTCTTGAATTCGCGGAATTTGGTATGTAATAAAAGTAACTTCCCTTGTCTTCATTTAATCCATACCATAGCTACATGTAAACGACATTAATCAGCGTTATGTCTTTATTTCACGAATAACAGGGTAAGTTATTATAAAATTGTTAGATTTTATAAATAATTAATTAACACTAGTGCAGTTATTGATAGTCCCTAAACGTTAAATGACTTTCCTATATGCTATATTACGATGAGTACATGTGCACCCGAGATCTTCAATACAATGCGGCGAAAAACTACTGGACGGAAATAAAACTTTTTATGTAGTTCTACGAAATAATATCCTTCCACACTTCCTTCCTCAGTAAGTTCAATATTTATTTGAATGATTTTTTAAAACCAAAATGTCAATAAAAACTACATGAACTAATATGCATGAGAATGCAGGTAACAAATACATGTGGTAACATTAGTTACGCACGGGTAATCAAAACCCATGGCCCACGTGTTTTGATTGATGAAACATGTAGCGATGGCTATTAAAACAGCTTTTGAACAAACACAAATTATTATCTGCCGATTTGAATTAAAGTAAAGCATGATAATAGAAATTAATTGAATGACAGTACTACTCGCAATTACTGAAATGACCATGGACTGCACGTACACCTATATAAATCTATCGTAGTCTATTCTCAATTTTCCAAATAAAACATGGAGATTATTGAAAATTTATTCACTGTTTCTTGAATTCACGGATTTGTTAACACCGTGAATATAGCGAATATTAACACCGCGAGTTATTTTCCCCCTGTACAGTATATGTTAGGAAAATATAAGCAAACAAGGTTAAATAATATGGAGATAAATTGACTTATCTGTCACTCTTTTGACTTGTTGGAGAGACTGCATGCATGTGGTATACACTAGACAAAATTGCTAATGCACCACTTAAAATTCATCTATGTGAATTGAACATTTGCCTAATCGGTATTAGTATACATATTTTCCAATTCAATGGGATTGGCAAATGTCTTTGGGTCAGAACAAACCCACAAACGACCTTCTTGCCCAAAACCAATTTCCCGACATGCTTTGCGTACCTTTTTTTTGGCCCAGATATATGCATTGCTAATTACTGGTGATGGTCCTTGAGGTTACACCAGAAACAGTCTCCCAGTTAAAAAAATAAAATAATATGCAGCGATTGACTGTTATATCGCCTGCTTGTCATCCAGTGCCTTGGGGTTCATACCCAGTCCACTCAACTTCTGGTTGCACCAATTTTGTGGAACGACATTGAAATTGTGGTGTGGTGTTTACTTAATGGCTTGGCTATCTAGAGTGAACATTTTTATGTCTACTAATATATCTGCAACAATTTCTCACTAGAAGAATAAATATTGTTTTCATTGTTTTAATTTTTACATGTCTTTCCAAAGGAACCCCCTGCAAACACCATAATGTTTGTTTTATCACGCTCTCCTGGGATCAAATGCCGCATACGGTTTAATTTCATTTCTGATTTTCTAATTAGTACAAACATAAAGAACCAAAAAGCAAAGAAAAAATTGGAAATTTATCCCTCCAAATTAGTATGGACACGATTTTCACGTTTTCTATGAAATGGTCACGCTTCATTTAACATTGTAGATATTTATCAATTAAGACATTTAAATGCTTTATTTTTTTGATTTTGTAACATAATAATATATCAAATACAACTTAAACAAGTTTTGAAAACTTAAGTAAAATATTACTTTCATCTGGTGGTGCGTTAGCAATTTTGTTTAGTGTATACATTGGACCTAACATGTAAAGGTCTTGATGCAAAAGCTTTAGGAGATCTCTTAGATTACAAGTTATGACTCAAGGTTTATTTTGCAAGTTCAAGTCATTTTAAATTGCAGCAGTAATTCTTCTATATAATAAATTTCTTTTCAAATGTTCCTCCTTTTTTAGTTCTCGTGAAGTGCATTTCACTGCTACTGCTTTCATAAAAGATGGTTTTATTTGAATTGATAAGCACTTTTAATCTCTTAAGAAATATATTAAGATCTTCTTTGGCAATAAATATGAAATCAACAAAAAATTAACAATTTACAGCTTAACTTTTTATCTAATTTTTGCATTTAAAATAGACATGAATAAAAAACTAAATTAAATTTTAAACACAATATGCATGAATGGATTAGTTGGGAAAAGAAATAGCTGTGATATTAACTTGTAATTTTTTTTTTTTTTTTTTTTGAATTTGAATTTCTAATAAGAAACTGAAACTTTATGTACATTACATTTGATTAGTCTCTGAGAGAATTAAAACAAAATGATGTATAGATTATCTTATAAGGCCAGAGGCATGCTGGAATTAGCTTTTGGGATTCAAATTTGTCCTCAAATAAACGCATGCACATTCATTTATTATATAGTTATAGCTAGGTATTTTGTTTAATTTGTCAAATGGTATGTTGAACATGCAGATTTGAATCAAATTGTGATGAAAGTCATATATACATGAATATAGGTATATGCACAAACATACAATAAAAATACATTCAAACATACTTTATATACATACAAGGGTTTTCTATAGAGTTTGCGGACTGTGAATGGCATTTTTGTCAAACTGAATGGCCCCAGATAATTGTCTTATCATAACTACTAACATAATTTTGGGTAAACTTTAATGCATAGCAATATCATCTGTTACTGCAATGTTTATTCAAAACAAAAAGGAAAGCTATTTTTTGTTTGTAGGAGAATTTTTTGTAGGAGCAACTAGAGGATCTTGTGAAATCAACTCTATGACAAACAATTGTCTAATATGATAAGCCTCTTATAATGTTTTAAAAGTGATTGAAATCTACTTATATAATGTATTTATTAACTTTTACAGTAAATTTAACATAACAAATGATTATGATTAACCCATAATTGGAATATATTTTTCTTACTTATTTTCTAGCTGTTCTGGTTAAAGACCAGAATAGTGTTTTCTGCAAATGGTAAAGTACGTGTCATGACTAAAAATAAGATTCTATATGTTCTACATGTATATAATATACTATGTTCAGTTAAACATGGTACCGGCACTCATGAAAAATTCATTTAGCAGAGGTATAAACATAAAATGTGCCTTTTCCAAAATTAAAACATGAAGGTATATAGATCTTTTGTTTGGACCTTGAAAAATGTTTGTTTCTTTGTTTTATGACTTGAGAATGATGAAAATAATTTAAATGTTTTGAATGAAAGTTATTGACACTGGTATATTATCTTTATCTTAAGCTATAGCATTTGACAGTTGTGCACAAAATTTTAGTGATTAATATGTCTGTAAATTAAATGTCTCAAAAGGAATGAACTCTCATTATATAACAACTGCATGATCACAAAAACATAAATATTTAAACCAGTAGAACTACAATCTTATCAGGAACTTCAGATTTCTTACAGTGCCAGAATGCAAGCTCATTTTCATAGTTAATTTAGTAGTTTATATTTTATACGCCCTCTTCAAAAGAAATATCAGATATTTAATTTTTCAATTATCTAATTAAGGTGAATTGACTGTAACCACGGGCCCGAATGTCACTGGTAGAGTGGGAAGAAGTGTAACCATCAATTGTACTGTGACAGGTCCAGAGGTTAACAATATACTGTGGAAAAAAGTTTCTGGAACTGACGCACCTAAAGACATCACCATAGATGGTACAACATACACAGGAGGATCAGTATCAACTCCATCTCTAACAATAGTCAGCCTGACTTCTACTGATGCAGGAGATTATCAGTGTACAGCAAGCAATCCTGGTGGAAATTTTCCTAGTAATAATAAAGCCGAAGTCTCTGTATTGTGTAAGTATTCAGGTTATTTGAAATATTTTGTATATTTTTTAATCATTTTTGTTGTATCACTAGTACTGAATTATTTTAAATGTACGAGGGTTGATCCAAAAGTTCGTGGAATTTCTTTCTAAAATTTTATAGCGATTTGATGAAAGCAAACAACAGGCATATTCATAATATAGAGTCATAATGCAACAATGTTGGAAAATTTTACTACTTTCCAATTACCAATGCGGTCACACGAGCTTTCTGAAAATGGATAGTTGTGAAACCCGGGGGAGACTTCGACGTAACGTCAAGTTAGATATGTCACGTCACATTAAATAGATGCAACTCGCCCTAATGTCCAATTTGAATTCGTAATTCTACAAAAAGTTGTCTTTTTCTCTATATTTTTTTCTCAAATAAGCCTTGGTATCCTTTCGCACCAACTTATCTTCATTTTTCACTCATATTTCAAATTACTACCCATCTTTCCATACGATGTTCCAGTGATGATCCAATTTCAATAGCAATGTCAAGAACAGTACGGCAGCCGACAACGTCCATTTACGCTTTTAATTTGTTTAAGGGGATCTGCACCGAAAACAGTCTCCAAAAAGCCACCACACCTTTAATCAACATCCATGGCAGTTCTATTTTCTTAAATTTATCATGCTACCGAAAAACCAGTAACTAAATGCATTTTTTCCCAAGCCTTTGTCTATTACATACGCGTTTAAGATAGAGTGATCCCGGATTTTTCACAAAACGTATGACTTTACCGAAATTTGACATTGTCTAACAACTTAAAGATGAACAATAAATAATCAATAAATAAATATCCTGTAAAATCAGTAAAACTTTCACACAAAGGTTTATAAAAGACCAAGCAATCGTAATAATGACATAATTTTCGTTTATATACCACACAGGCCGGTTTAAATCTCATTTCACGTATTAAGAATTAAAATAAAAATGAACGTGTTAATGTCTCCCCCGCATTACCAATCAACCGTTTCTATGGCAACTGCCATAGAGTTACTATCAAAGATATTTAAACTATTTTTCAATTTAAAATATTCATCATATATCTATATTTTCATTTGAAATTTTCAACCAATTCAACTTAAAAATGAATAAAATATGAAAAAATTCCACGAACTTTTGAATCAACCCTCGTACATTCACTGCAGTAACCATAATCAATGTTTGGAAAACTGAGCAGAGCATTTATACATGTAATATATATATATATGGGAGTTTCTCTTCTTCAAAATTTTTAAATGGTGAAAAGAAATGGTTACTGAAACTGCTCATGACCGACTGTTGGCCCCCAATAGCACTCAGATCCCTGCCAATCAACTGGGGCCCCTCTAACTTCAAATCCAGGCTCTGCCATTAAATATTGCTCCTTTAAATAAGAAATTTAAATATTTGACAAAAATATTAATGAATTGAGGATTATTCTTTTGTAATGATCATCAAAAAATTCTTCTATCCAAAAATTTCTTTGGTGAGAGAATACTTAGATTTAATTGGTAACAATGTCCACTAAGCACTGAATGATGTTAGAAATGATTTCTTATACACTGTAATAGCATGAATTTAAATTCATGATTTACAGGTAGGAGATGTAAGATAGCTGGGTAAGTGATATATTGCATAAAAACCAATGTTGCATTTTGTACGTTAAAAAGACATATTCATCATTAATTTGTGAGAGTATTTTTTGATTTACAGATGGGCAGTTTAATGAGGATTGCACTGAAACAGTACCTTGTGATCATAATTCCAGTTATTTGATATGTAATAAAGGCAAATGTCTTTGTAACACAACGTCCTACCACAAAGACAAAGTATGTCATCCAAGTAAGTGATACCTCAAAAAGTGGGTGCTTATTCTAGTATGATAAAAACCAAAAAATGGCCTGAACAATTCAGTTCAAAATTTGTTTCAAAATAAGCATCTTTAAAAGGTTTTAATTGCAAACAATCATAGGTTTAACTCTGATTTGTTTTTCAAGATCAATTAAGGGACCTTAATTGGACTTCTCCATTCCTTGTCCATTTTAATTAACTTGTGATTCTTCTTGTTATCAGGAACCCGTCTAACTCCATATATAAGCGCCATCAACAGTTCAACATCACAGTTCTCTGTGTTCTGGAGCCATCCCTCTGTGGATTTTGACCTTGTCATCAGCTATAGGGTCTACTGGAGGCAGAATGGTGGTTCTACATCTCAACAAGGAGTTGATAGGGGGAAGAATACCACCATTATCAACTCAGGCCTAATGTCTGGTCAGCGGTACATTGTCACTGTTTCTGCTGTTGTCAGGCTAACAGAGCCAGAGGAAACCATTACTATAGACTCATATGAGAAAGAAGTGAGATTAGGTTTGTTGATTTTATTTCATTGAATATGGGTACAGTCCACTAATTGTTTTCCCATAGGCGACAATGTTAACGTTTCTTCTCATAGCGATGTCCCTAATTTTCGTTCAGCAGTGAGTGACCCCTCAAATCAAAGCACATCAACTTGTCTTTCCTTGGTCAAAATCTCGAGGTGGCATGTCAGATTCGTTTTCCGGCAAAATGCGTCTGTCTGCGGCAACCTCTAAAAATGAAAGTGAAAGTAGGGGAAATTCAGAGTTCTAACTGGCGTTATAATACACAAATAATTCGGCTGATCTTCTTGATGAATTACATTTGCCAAACTTTTTTGGTAGGAAAGATACTCCTTATCAACAAGTGTGAGGCTCAGTTTAGTACATCTGCACATTTTTTTTTATGCAAGTCTGCAAGTTAAGGAACTTGTAATTTTTTCTGCACTAGTTTCTTCTCCTATCGATTCTAAAAATAATTAGTGGGATGTACCCAATATGAAAAAGCATTTTTTAGATTTTACAATATTTCACACTGTTTGTCAATCTAGAGCATAAGTACAGATAACATGCCAAGTTTCATGAAAATTCAACCATTAATTAAGATTTTACAGCATGTACAGTTCTATGTGTAATATCCCTAAAAAATGCTCCAATCTAGTCAAAACTGCACCAAAGTTTTAAGTCAAATGTTAGCCTATTAACACATTTATACCATTCTTACTCTCCTTCATAACTTTAAATACAATTAGTCAAATCATAATCAAGCACTTAAATGGGTCAATTTCTCTTATTTTAAAAAATTAATGTATTTCCACACAAAATATGACCATTTTTCACCCTATAATTCATAGTTTCTCCAGAAATGACAAAAAAATTAAGTTAACAAATACCCCGAAAGTAGTAAAGCAAGAAAGTACTGATTATTTCCTGTCCATTGATGTATCATTTATGAAATTTGGTCTATGAATAAAAAAGTTATAAGCCTTTATACTCCTCTATACAATCATTTGTTTCAAAGCAAATTTTATGCCAATGCAAATTTACTCATCTATGACGTCATAATGACATCATAATAATGGATAGCTCAATACATGTGTATCATCACTTTTCCCGTACTTTTCATTTAAGACCAAATCAGTGCTAATCTAATCATTTTAACTATAAAAAATAAAAATATGTGTTTTACCTGATTAAATAAATAATCTTCTAAAGTTGTTTTGTTTCCATGGTAACCATTTTGTAATTTGTAGGAAAATGAGACAAAATTTTGAATTTCCTGACACATCGCATAATTTTGACAGTCAAATATTTAATAAGAAATTTCAATTCTTCTATTCGTGTAATCTTAATAATGCATTATTTACAAAACAAAGATGTAGATCTAATTACTTTGAAATTCTTACACAAGAAAAAAATCTATATGAGCTACAAAATATATAGCAGTGCACGTACAAATTAGCTAAACATGAATACTTTCACAATTTTATCACCTATTTAATATCTACACCCCCCCCCCCCCCACACACACACACACACACTTTAATAAATTTTTTTTTAAAGAAAAGTTGAACTTACACATTTTGCCAACTGCCACTTTTTACTGGTGACCGTGAAGTTTCAAGATGTTTTCAAATGGGTGTGTGTTTGCTGGCCAATAGTTTTAAACACCACCTACATGAACCTCATGGTTTTCCTGTACCAATGACCATGACCCTAAAAAGAAATCAATTCAATAAATGGCACAATAATTATCAGGCTCAAAAACATCTCAAACATTCACATTTGAAGACAGACAGACACATAGACATTCCACACATACAATTTTACCATATTCCTTTTATGCCCATAACTTGTAATTAATTAAAAATTATAAATTTGCTCCCACTTGAAATCACCATGTTAACACTGGCAAGTTAATTCAGCAGAATATGTAAAAAGCATGTTTAACTGGCAATTATTGTACATTCAACAAATACTTGTAATGCAATTGCTAAAAATATGAGAAAAAAATCAGTTAACGAGCATATTCACACACATCGTTTAACTCCCAGACAACTGCACCCAGCTTGACCGAGCGACTGATTTGCAATGATGTACGTCGTGTATGTGACGTGTCGATCATCCTGTTCCAAAAACATTAAATTCTAATTTACAAACACTGTACTAAGGCATACCTCTTACCTTCTGTGTAAAATACAAATGCCTATCACCTTTATACTGCTCGACACAGCACTGAACAGTTTTGATAACTTTCTGCTAAGTCTACTTTAGGGCTGGGCAATAATATCGATATTTCAATATATTGCAATACAATGACAAAAAATATCGTATCGCAATACGATTTTGTAATATCGATATTTTGGCAATATGCTTATGCCCTGTTCACACGGAGAGTTTAATTCGCAGTAAATTAATGCGAAGTAAATGCGAAGTAAACTAATGCGAATCAAACTAATACGAATTAAATTGCGTTCACACGACAGCTAATGCGAAGTAAACTAATGCGAATTAAAATTTTGTTTCTGCAGCACGGCTATTATGACGTCATTTGCAAATCACGTCACCTTGTGCTGACGCAGATCCATTTGACATAATGGCAAAGTGTCTGATACTACACATTTTTCTGATAAATAAAAATTTCCTTAGTTTTTCACTCAAAAATAGTACAAGTACATATAGCTGACCACCGACAAGTGGCATTTGACTAAATTTTGCCATTACGCATGCGTCAGAATTTAATTCGAATTAGCTTCGTTTAGCGTTCACACGGAGCTAATGCGAAGTAATTTAATGCGCAGTAAACTAATTCGAAGTAAACTAATTCGCATTAAATTCTCCGTGTGAACGCTAAGCGAAGCTAATTCGCAGTAAACTTACGTTTAATTCGAATTAAACTCTTCGTGTGAACAGGGCATTAGATTAAGGAATTATGTCATTAAATATAAAAATGGACTTATGAAAGTTTGTTATTAAACCAAACAGTAAGACAGAAGTTGTTTTGTGGGGACATTTCAGAGCATAACTTAACTGAAATCAACAAGATTTTTTTTCCGTGTTGGTTACTTATCATGGTTATGTACATTCTGCATGTAAATTATAGTTAATGTAGTAAGAAAATGCCATTTTTATTACATTAAAAATATTGCAATACATATCGCAATACAATTAAAAATATCGCAATATATCGCAATACGAAATCTCGGGCCAATACCCAGCCCTAGTCTACTTTCACTTTGACCTTGATTGAATACCGATTCCGACCTAAATTGTGAATTTTTGTGTATTGAAAATAAAAGACAGTGGAGCATGTACTTCCACATAATTACTCTTTCATCTGAATATATATTTGTGATTCTGAATAAACAAATGATACAAATCGATACACATTTAATTTACGATACATGTGTAAACAATGGGTGATACAAGTCTGTTCCTGGGGGGGGGGGGATCTAGAAAATTTATTTATGAATTAATTTGTTTGAAAATGTGTATCAACAAAATAAGAATTGTTTTTTTTCATAAGATTGAACAATTAGAAATGATAGAAAACACCAACTTTGAAATAAAGTCAAGATCTATGACATTTTTCACTTACTTATAGGCTTCCCAATATGGGTACAGTCCACTAATTGTTTTCCCATAGGCGACAATGTTAACGTTTCTTCTCATAGCGATGTCCCTAATTTTCGTTCAGCAGTGAGTGACCCCTCAAATCAAAGCACATCAACTTGTCTTTCCTTGGTCAAAATCTCGAGGTGGCATGTCAGATTCGTTTTCCGGCAAAATGCGTCTGTCTGCGGCAACCTCTAAAAATGAAAGTGAAAGTAGGGGAAATTCAGAGTTCTAACTGGCGTTATAATACACAAAATAATTCGGCTGATCTTCTTGATGAATTACATTTGCCAAACTTTTTTGGTAGGAAAGATACTCCTTATCAACAAGTGTGAGGCTCAGTTTAGTACATCTGCACATTTTTTTTATGCAAGTCTGCAAGTTAAGGAACTTGTAATTTTTTCTGCACTAGTTTCTTCTCCTATCGATTCTAAAAATAATTAGTGGGATGTACCCATATATGAATACCCTATATATTATTCTCACCATTCTAAGTATTTTTATCTCACCTCATTGAAGTGGAGGCTTATGTGATACCCTCAGCTTCGGCATTCAAGGTTAAAGTTTTTGGTGCAGTTTTTTTATGTGGCACATTGATAAGAGATGCATGCAAGATGCTTCTAGTGTGTTTCATTGTACCAGATAAGGTTTCAGGTGCTGCAATTTCAGGAAAGAAATGTTTTTGGAGTAAGTTAATGTTTCTGGTGCAGGTTAAAGGTTTTGGTGAAGGTCTCATATCCAAGTAACTATAAACCCTATGTTGACCAAACTTGTGTGGATGTTACATCTAAGGATTCGGCTTGCTTCAGATGCTGGATCTAACCTACATTTTCTAGATGAGTGTACAGGTTAAGGTCTATTTCTATAAATAAGATGCTGGGTTTGAATTACATTTTCTGGATGAGTGACTAGTTAGCCGGGCTTATTGCTCAAAGAGCAATTGCCGGCTTATGTCATCCTGTTCAAGGCAGGAAGTCAACCCCATAGTCGCCATTTTAAAGTTACGTGCAAAAATATAGTTCTTACTCTCAACCGCTTTTGAGATAATACAAACGCTAAATAAAGCAACAAAAATAAAACGATGTTTTATCTAATAGTATATAAATAAACATTAGTAGTAATGACTTTGAAAACTTCAGTCCTAAGTCAAAGAACATAGTTTAATTAGCGTAAGGATTTTTGATAATCAGTGTTATCGTAGTTCTGTACACATACGAGGTAAAGCAGGTGAGGGAACCAGACTGGCCTGTTTGTTTACATTCAACTGCGGTACCAGATTAATTCTGATTCTGACAAAATCGAACCGTGGTATTAGGATTGAAAAACTCACTGTCAGTGTCTTATCATTTATATTGATAGTTTTAAAATAATTTTTTTCATCAGAATATAAACGTGATTCATGCAAGAAATTCATTCTACTCTGTAAATGAGCCCGGCTCTCTGTACTTCTGAGTACTTTGCTTTTTAATTTTAGGATAAGTCTGTTTCCAAGTTAACTGCAAACCCCATACGATGAAAATTGCATAAATGTTGAGTTGCACACTACTATATAGAATATTAGTTTAATGTGGGACTTTGTCTTAACTAAAGACAACATTAATTGAGATGAGCTATGTAATTAAGGTTTTCCGTTTCCAACGGAAGACCTTCTACTGATTCTGATGATTAAGATTATTAAGGTCTTCCGTCTTCAGCGGAAGACCTTCTTGTTATTCTTAGGTTTCCTTTTCACTTTTATTAAGGTCTTCCGGCTTCAGCGGAAGACCTTCTAGTGATTCTTAGGTTTCTTTTTCACTTTTTAAGGTCTTCCGTCTTCAGCGGAAGACCTTCTTGTTATTCTTAGGTTTCTTTTCCACTATTTTTATTAAGGTCGAGAAAATTTCCGTCTTCAGCGGAAGACCTTATTGTTTTTCTTCGGTTTCTTTTTCACTTTTATTATTATTTTTTTTTTTCTTACCGATTTTGTGCACGCGATTTCTCGAAAACGGCTCAACAAAATCTTATGAAACTTTCAGGACGTATGGAACATCACTTGAACCTTATGCATTTTTTTCCGTTTCGATGACGTCACTTCCGGTCTAGAGATATCGTCGATTTTCTGATTTTTAAGGGTCATTTTGTCCACAATTTTCCCGAGAAACGGCTCTAGATAGAAACTTCAAACTTTGAGGCTAGGTAGAGCTATGTCTGGAGAGGTGCATCAGGTATATCAAATCTACCGGAAGTGACGCTCGTCGGCGCTCGCTATGGCCCGAAAATAGACCTATCACAAATTTCAAAATTTCTCACACCTTTTCTTCGATATTTTTTTACCTGAAAATATTTTGTGAAAACGTATAGAACACAAGAAGTGCAGAATTTAAAGATCTTTCAAATGATATCTCGAAAAAAGGGCTGGCCCCTAAATTTAAGGGCCTAGAGGGGCCAACAGTTTTTTCTTTATATCTCAAAACGTATTAAGAATTTGTAATACGTCAAAGAAGCAAAGTTGTTCAAAATGACAAGCTTAATCTATTGAAGTCGTCAGAAAACGTCCGGCATCGTCACTTCCGGCCAAACCGGAAGTAGTCGAAAAACGCGTATTTTTGCCGTTCTTGACAAGTTTTTTGGTAACAAATGTCTCTAGAAGCAAAAAAATAATTTTTTCGTCCGTTGTCGTCACTTCCGCTCAAACCGGAAGTAGCAAAAAATTGCTTATTTTTGCATTAATTAACATAGCGTTAAAGGATTCAAACCATTTTTAGGCGTTATTTCTCATTTTTGTTAAAAATTAATGCTACTTCCGGTCAAACAGGACGGAAGACCTACTCGTTGCTTTGCAACGAGCTTTGCTCTAGTTGTTATTATTATTGTTTTTTCTTACCGATTTTGTGCACGCGATTTCTCGAAAACGGCTGGATAGATTTTCATGAAACTTTCAGGACTGATAGAACATCAAACAAAGCTGAAAGTAATTTTTTTGTTTTGATGACGTCACTTCCGGTTTTGAGATTTCCGCGATTTAGTGATTTTCAGGGGGTCTCATTGTCCATCATTTTTCTCTAAAATGCCTTTAGACAGAAACAATAGATTTTCAGCGATGATAGAGCAATGTGTGCTGATATGTCACACACCACTCTTTTTCTCCGGAAGTGAGGCATGTCGGCGCTCGCCATGGCTCAAAAAAAGTCCTATCGAGGATTTAGAAATTTCTGACACCTTTTCTGCAATATCTTTTTACATGTAAACATTTTGTAAAGACATATAGAACAAAAGTTGTAGAGAATGTCACGATCTTTCGAAAAATATCAACAATTAAGGGCTGGTCCCTATAATAAAGGGCTAATAGGGGCCGAAATTTTTTCTTTTATATCTCAAAAAGTATTGAGAATTTGTAATACGTGAAAGAAGCAAAGTTCAGAATGTCAAGCTTTATCTAATGATTTCGTCAAAATACGTCCGGCGACATCACTTCCGGTCAAACCGGAAGTAGTCAAAAATTACATATTTTTGCCGTTCTTGACAGGTTTTTGGTTTACATATGTCACTGGAAGCTTAAATCTTAATTTTCTGTCCGTCGACGTCACTTCCGGTCAAACCGGAAGTAGCCAAAAATGGCTTAATATTGCAATAATTAATATAGATTTGGAGGATTAAACCATTTTTATACTTCATTACTCATTTTTTTTTTAAATGAAAGTTGCAGATGTACTTCCGGTCAAACAGGACGGAAGACCTACTCGTTGCTTTGCAACGAGCTCGGCTCTAGTCTTATTATTATTATTGTTTTTTTTCTTACCGATTTTGTGCACGCGATTTCTCGAAAAAGGCTAAATGGATTTCTATGAAACTTTCAGAACCAATGAGACACTACTTGAACTTGATTCATTTTTTTCGGTTTTGATGACGTCACTTCCGGTTCGGAGTTTTCTGCGATTTAGTGATTTTTAGAGGGTCATTTTGTCCGGCAGTTTTCTCAAAAAGCGCTTAACACAGACGCATGAAATTTTCAGTGATGCTAGAGCAACCTTTGGAGAAGGGTATTAGGTATATCATAACTATCGGCAGTACAAAGCGCTGGCGCTCGCTATGGTCCGAAAATAGTCCTATCGCGAATTTCAAAATTTTTAACACATTTTCTGCGATATCTTTTTACCTGGAAATATTTTGTTAAACCATATAGAACAAAAGAAGTGTAGAATTTCAAGATCTTTCAAATCATATCTTGTAAAAAGGGCTGGCCCCTAAAATAAAGGGCCGAGAGGGGCCGAAAGTTTTTTCTTTATATCTAAAAAAGTATTGAGAATTTGTAATACGTCAAAGAAGCAAAGTTGTTCAAAATGTCAAGCTCAATCTATTGGGTTTGTCAAAATACGTCCGGCGTCGTCACTTCCGGCCAAACCGGAAGTAGTCGAAAACGCGTATTTTTGCTGTTCTTGACAATTTTTTGGGTAACATATGTTTTGGGAGCATAAAATTAATTTTCCGTCCGTCGTCATCACTTCCGGTCAAACCTGAAGTAGCAAAAAAATTGCTTATTTTTGCATTAATTAACATGGCTTTAGAGGATTCAAACCATTTTTAGGCGTTATTTCTCATTTTTGTAAAAAAATGAAAGCTACTTCCAGTCAAACAGGACGGAAGACCTACTCGTTGCTTTCAACGAGCTTTGCTCTAGTTATTATTAAGGTCTTCCGTCTTCAGCAGAAGACCTTATTGTTTTTCTTAGGTTTCTTTTCCACTATTTTTATTATTATTGTTTTTTTTTCTTACCGATTTTGTACGCGCGATTTCTCGAGAACGGCTCGCTCGATTTTCATGAAACTTTCAGGTCTGACGAAACATCAAAAAGTCTAGACATAAAATTTTTTATTTTGATGACGTCACTTCCGGTTCGGAGTTTTCTGCGATTTAGTGATTTTTAGAGGGTCACTTTGTCCGGCAGTTTTCTCAAAAAGCACTTAACACAGAAGCATGAAATTTTCAGTGATGCTAGAGCAACCTTTGGAGAAATGCCCTTTATATATCACAACTACCGAAAGTACGAAGCGCCGGCGCTCGCTATGGCTCGAAAATTGTCCTATCATGAATTTCATAATTTCTAACACCTTTTCTACGATAACTTTTTACCTAGAAATATTTTGATAAAACATATAGAACAAAAGAAGTGTAGAATTGCATGATCTTTCAAATGATATCTATGAAAAGGGCTGGCCCCTAAATTAAAGGATCCAGAGGGGCCAAAACGTTTTATCTGATATCTCAAAAAGTGTTGACAATTTGTTAAGCATCATAGAAGGAAAGTTGTTCAAAATAATAAATAGCAGAGGCAGAGATCATTTAAAGTCGTTAAAATACCGTCACTTCCGGTCAGGCCGGAAGTATTTGTAAAT